GAAAAAAATTTTCGAGCCTAATAATATACAGCTGTGTATCAGTGATCTTAAAAGAAGGATCAGGAAGGTTAAGAGTCCTCACGGACGGGGTCTGCTGTAAACTTGGCACAGTATTTTCGGAAGACACGTTTACAAAAAAATTTCAATTGTACATGAATATGATGTAAATGTCAAAAAGGACTAACAAAAACAATGATAATAACAAATGGTACAACTTATAACATAGAACAGACTTACTAAATTCCACCAAAACATCAATTGTCTGTGGATAATCGTTATTTATTATGATTATTATCGCTACGTGCAATAACGTCTGTACGATAACGTCTGTGTAATTAAAATAATGATATGATAAATCCATAATTACGATTATAATCCATATAACAATTCGATTTGAGACGAAGTGCGTTGGGTTTTCGGAATTAGATTAAATCGTTGAAAATTGTTTGTATTTGTACGTTAACCTAAGCAATTTCGCTTCCTGTTCGTGAGTCCGGATCGCCAGTTCTATGGTGCCATGCTTAGCTAATCGTTCACTTCGATAACCGTTTTAATGCAATTCTTAACGGTGCATAAAATCAGAAGGCAAAGAGAAGCGGCAACTACAGTTTTATTACCAAATGACGCAAGTCACAAAGCTATAAGCACATGAGCAAATATCAGTGGGCGAGTGCGAGCAATTATATAAGCAATTTATAGTCAAATTGAATAAGGGAACAGCAAAACAAAACAAAAGCTGATAATAGGATTTGAGTGCATACATATTTGGGGAGAAGAATGAGTGATGGAATAATACTTAAGCAATCAGCGTTTCGGCTAGAGTTTCATGTGCTCTGGTGGTCATAACGGTACAAAGGAATATGCGAATTGTTACTATCCAAACGACTATGTCTGTTAAGTAAGTTAATAAAAGGGGCTTAACCAAAATTGACCACAATCGAAATTGATTGTAGGATACTTGCTTTACCGTTTTCCACAACGAAAGACGCATGCACTTCGTTGATCATCTCAAGTTCCCCATTTACTACACGAGTTGAAGTATATCTCATGCTTGAAAGTGAATGACTTAGTTATGTGGCGAAAAAGTCATCAAAAACTTTTGAACTTTTCCAGTTGGCAAAGCCATTGTCGCTGGGCTATTTTACGGCACAGGTTCTCTGACTTGTTGGTTTCCACCAAACTCCGAATTCTTAAGAGGCATTGTGGGCTACCTTGAATTTTTCTGGTTAGCTTGGTCTCGAAATACCTCTTATCATATCTCACTTTCGAGTTTGATCCTCATCTTACCAGAAAAGAGTTAAGATCGGAATTCTCTGGAGGAGCCTTCCATTTTTATTAGCTCATCCTTTCAAGGTGAGGCGAACAGCTTTTTGATTGTTGCAGTCAGAACATTCTCTTTTTAAATGAATTGTTAATTTTAGGGGTGATTTTAAATGATTTTTGAACCCATATGGTTGGTCCTAAGTAAATATATGAGGAAAATTATCGGCGAATGTTTTTCCCCGTGAGTTTTTCTTTGTTTTCCCTGAATAGGTAGCATCTCTTGTATTGTTTACAGCATTCATCTACATGTTCATGCAGAAACAGTAGTTTGTTTCACCTTTAAATTTAAAATTGTTAAGAATAAAGAGAATTCAGAAAAGGTAACTTTTATTTTCGACAAAATCATTTGCTTACGCTGCACATTCGTATTTATAGTTATATGAAAATTAAATGTCTATAGAAGGATTGAAAAGATTGCATCATAAATTGACTTGAGACTCTAATGATCAAGTGAGGTTACACAATAATCAAGGGATAAGAAAGGAATATAAGAACGAAACTAATTTACGGGTCCGATAATTGTCCAATTGACAGAAGAGTTCGACAAACACAAAGATCATAACAATAAAAACTGGATAATAATCAGGAAACATTGTATGGGGTAGTAATAATAATAACGACGCGTTAGAATTTAAGAACACAAAACAATAATTTAAAAAATTAATAATAATCAACTGAAAAAATAGATTCTCCTTTCAGGAGCCAAGCCGGATAGTGTTCTGAGATGTGTTTGGAAAAAGATCGCTTTGTGCAGCCATTGTAACCTGCCACACATCAGTAAATAAATTTAAAGATGCACATTAATGTGGTTCAAAGTGGAAGTTTATCCTTGAAGCATCCATGAATGGTAGGCCGGCTTGAGAAAACAATTCGGAGCTTACCTGCATAGAACGTTTTATTCAATGATTTTGAAATCCATTTCAGAAGGGTTTCAGCAGCCATGTCTCCTTTAAATTCCATATTCATAAACCAATTTTTCTTCTGCACTGTCGGCGATTTTTCAGGATGATGTTTAGGGGTTAAGTTTCTGTCGACGAATCTAGGTGGATAACCATTCCTAATAAGTGTCTGTGGAAATTAAAGTAGTTCCTCATCTATTGTATCAGTAAAACATATTCTCCGGATCTTTGAGGATAAAGAGTGAATTAAGTTCTCCTTTCTACTTATTGAGACACAGTTATGGAAGTTCGTGTACTGCCTATTCCAGGTCGGTTTTCTATATATATATATATATATATATATATATATATATATATATATATATATAGATCTTTGAGAAAAACCACCTGGTCTTCTTTTCAATCGGACATCAGGAAAATGAAATTCCTTGTTTGTCTCTTCTTCCAAAGCTAATTGAATTGAGGGGTAACAATTATTGAAAGTACCCCAAATTTCATTTAGGTCCATGTCTTCTTCACAAATTATGAGAGCATCATCCACATATCTCTTATATAAATGAAATCTTTCAATTATTGGTTGAAGTACAGAATTGTCTAGATTGGCCATGAATCAATCAGCCAAGAAGGGACCCAATAGGGAGCCAATTGCAATTCCATCTGTTTGTCTGTAGAAATCATCATTCAGTCTAAATTCCAATATAGGAGCACATCTTTGAAGTAACTTTTTTAGATAATGTTTTGAGATACAAATATCAAGGTTATTGTCTGTAATATAGTCACATAAATATACATAGTTCCTGTGAGAGGAACATTTGTAAAAAGAGGAGTAACATCCAATGAGATCATTTTCTCATCATTTACATTGATATTTCTAGTAGAGTCGATAATACCAAAAGAATCAAGAGAGTTGTATTTAATGATATGATTTTTAATGGGTTGTAAAATATCAGCTAATCATTTAGCAATCAGGTGATATGGAAAATTGTTCATATGAAGTTTTAGGCGTAGAATGACATTATTATTATGAAATTTTGGGAGTCCATATAGCCTTGGTATAACGGAAGTCTATGTGAGCAGATGTTCATGGAGGTCACAATTGATAATAAACTCATCTTTCATTTTCCTTCGGATTTTAATTAACATCTGTTCTGTTTCTTTAGTTGCGTCTTTTTGAACGGTCTCTCTGGAGAATTTGACAGGATCAGATAATATCGAACATAGTTCGGTGACATAGTCAAGATGATTCATAAGGAAAATTCCTGCACTCTTGTCTGTGCAACATAACACTAAATCCGCATTTTTCTGAAGGTCAGATAATTGGGATTTATGCACTTTTGTGAGTAATCCACTAATAGTAGATTTTTTGTTTATTTTCGGTAGTTTCATTCTCACTCTTCATCTTATTTTCTCGATCATGTAAGAATAACATAATTCATTTCGCCTTTGACTTTAATCTCTTCTTTGTCATAGTATGGACAGCCAAGGCTTCATGACTTCATCTATCCATATCTCAGAACTTTGATAGCCGCCATACTGAATGACTGTATTTCTTAACTGCCACTACTTAGCTTCTAGAACCGACTATTCTACTAGAAGGAATTCATTTGTCTTGGTTGGTAGAAAGGTTTGACGCCTCTGAAAACTACGACTGCTCATCTACTGGGCAAGCCGAACAGATATATTCATTGGAAATTTTCCTTCATCGACAGAATCACTAGATATATGTCACGTAAATACTTTTGCATTTTTTGGCACTTTAAGTAAGATTTTAGTGTCGAAACACAAGTTCAACAGCTTTTTAAAGTGTATAGTCTAGTCGTGTCCGATTCTGCAGTTTTGCATTCCATTTTTCGTCGTAACTGGCTCTGATAGCGTTCAATGAAGTCCAACCATCAAGACGTACACTTCCTTTTGTTTTTTGTTGACTAATAGTCTCAGAATTATTTTGGTTCAGTCTTATGCGTTTCGGATATCCAGACTCTTAACGTCTGCAAGCCGATCCTCGTTCACAATTTACATACATGTTTTTCACATCACTCACTGGCTTTTACAACCAGCTTTCAAAAAAGTGCCTGTGAACAAATGAAGATATCAGGAGTAAACTGTCGTGGAGACAGATTTCCTCCTCGAAAATTCTAGAACCCTGGCAGTAAAACGTTGTGATAGACGTTCTATCAAATACATCTTTGAATCTCTTCGTTTCTGACTTTTAGTTTCATTGAGTGGGAACGTATCGTTTATAGGTGTTAATGGTTGAGGTGTTGTCAAACTCCGAATACTTGTAGCATCTTTAACGTATTTGAATTATTATATAAACTAAGAATCACACGAGTCAAATAGAACTATACGAGCACAAGCAAACGCATTGCATTTAGAATTCGAAATCAGACAGATAACATGTACCAAAACTTTATTATATCATACAAACCCCACAATTTAATCAAAGCATTCCACAAATGCGTTTTGATAACTGGCAATTATTTTGTAGATTGAAACCGGGTAACCATGAAGAACAACTCAACAAAACATATTATTTTGTTCAAATTTCCCATATTCTTATTAAAAATGATATACGTCCTATCACTTTCAAAAGATCTGGACGAACGCGTATCTTAAATATTAAGGCATATGCTCTTACTTATGTTTACGGTGATTGTTTTCGTCTCCCAAAGTTAATCATCGAGGGTAAAACTCAAGAAACTTTCATTTCCATAGTTTCACAATATTAAGTTAGAATTACTCAAAACACATGTTCAACATGAGATTGTAGGAATGTTTGTCACTTGATCAATGGCGGCAACATTGAAAGTGTGTGGAGTTTCTGGGTGTCTGGGGTTGAAGTCGTATTTAGGATTTACTCTAACTTTTAAATTTACAAACTTTATTTTACTGTGTCTAGTGATCTTTTATGCGGGAATGAATTAAACTTGCGCTCTTTTAGTTAACAAACTTGATTTAAAGTGATTAGATTTCATTAGTTGTAATGGTAAACTGTACTTAGTTTTTGGCGTGAGCATTATTGTTGTTATAAGCCATTTAAAAACGTTCGATCCCCCACCAAGTTTTTTTATTTTGTCTGTCTGTTTATCAAAATTCTAATCTATAATGTTTTGTAACGGCCGGATTTTCCCAGAAACAATATTGCAGCGACACAGCTGGTTCATATCACTCACACATTCGTTACTTGCCTAGATATATGACTGTAAATTAAAGGCAGTGAACATTGCAGTTTGAGTTTCAAAACAATAATTAAATATAAAACATTTTTAAAACTTAATGGCCTTACTTCACTGATGAAGTAAAGCAAATTTTGCTCTTTTACTGATTTCGTGGACTAATCAAACCAGTAAACGTTATCGACTCATAAAACAACTCTTTATCCAACGCTCCGTACCGAATGATTTAATTTTGAAGCTGTGCAAATCAGGTATGGTTTGAACCAAGATGAGATTTATTTCTCCCCAAACAACTTTGGAAGTAATGAAAACCTAATAGTTTGTGTATGAGCACAAGTAGAAAGGAAAACAAGTACGTCTCTGAATGTACCCCATAGGTTTATCAGATTTTGTAAGGAAACAATACATTGTCCACAAAAGTGTAGTGGTATCTGGCATAATAGGCGGGCATAGGTTAAAGTAAAGCAAGTAGGATAACTGTTATCAAACAATTCTTTGACTACAGAAGAGTCTTGCCCATAAGTTTTGAATACCTTACTAGTTATGAAATTATTTCTGTTTTTTACTGTATTTCAGAGGAGCTCTGTTGGAAAAAATCTCATTAACACTTATTTTTTAATAAGCTAGCTTACTTGTAGTCAGCTTAATTCTCAAGGAATTACTGTTTGTTAATGTATTAAAATGTCTTTTGTGTCGGAAGCTCGACTGATCAATGTTGTCCACTTACGTTAAGTTTTATTAGTTAGGAAGCGGAATAATTGCGTTCGGTTCATACTTATTTTGGTAACTTACGTTTCTTAATATTAGTAAAAGGAATTACTGGACGATTTCAGTAGGACTTTTTCTCTTGTATTACCATCCTATTAATGGAAATGCAAAAGGACATAAATCTGGACGAATTTCATTTAAATAATGAAGGGCTAACAAGTAGGTGAGGATGTAATAAAAAGTAGTTCAAGCTCTGTCCTCAAGTCAGATTGTTAAAGTCTACGTTTTTACCAATTTTATACTGCTTATAACCTATAGAATAGGAATATCTTTAGTTAACGAGTTAGTATAAATAAATAAAATAATGAATATTAGTTTTTAGTACTCTTGAACAGGTTAACTGTTACACTGATGTGACTTACAGAGTAAGTGCATAAAACACCGAATTTTCTGTGATCAAGTTCCATCGAAACTGCGGCCGAAACCCGTTTAAAATGTTTTAAAATTCGAAAGTTAGGATAAACGTTCAAACCTAGCTTCTTACAAACCACATTTTTGTTGACTAACCACCAAAGTTAAGTACGATTTCTTTATAAATTGAGGATCTTCAATTGTGTAGTCATCAGTAATATCAGCGAATAAACTCTTCAATGTTTACCCATCTTTTAAGGTTTGACGAAGTGAGTAAAAATCAATCGGAAACAACCCAAATCTAAACTATAAGTTATTTGTATTATGTGAGTATTTTCGTCCAATCACGTCTAAGTTAAACAGTAATCTGCACTCTGGACAGAGCGTTTTGAGGCAATATAACACTTTAGCTGAAATACTTATGTCGTACTTTAATTTAATAATAAACATTGATAGTGCTATCAGTTTGGGCGCCCTGGCAGTATCCCAGCTCTCATACAAATGGGATGACCAAGTGTGGCGCATATATATTTGCTGCCTCCTTGTATCGATGTTTGCGTGTTTAAATAAATAAAACCGTCCATTTAGTCTTAGGGATTTTTTCGTAGTAAAATTATTTTTAATACTCGCATAAACATCAGTGGTCTATCGGTTAAGGACTCTGGCTCGAAACTGGTAGGTCCTGGGTTCGAATCTCGCGAGTGCGGGATCGTGGATGCGCACTGCTGAGGAGTCCCATAATAGGACGAAACGGCCGTCCAGTGCTTCCAGGTTTGTCTCCAAATGCTCTGGTACGACCGAGAGTGGGGAGAGTCTGCTCTCCCTCTCGAAATGCTCTCATATGGCCACGCGAATATATAGCCTCTGGCAGGGAAGTTTTACTCACTGCCGTCTCGTGGCGGGGATGTTGTTCACAAAAGTGAGAGGACGAAAAGCGAATGTCCGGCGCTTTAACAGGGTTGGTGGATGTGGAGGATCCACCTAGGGGAGTTGGAAAACCCTAATTACAAACCAATGGTTCACATGGGCTCCAGTATCCTGAAGGAACGAATGGCGTATGAACCAACTGTTGGTCACCGGCTACCATGGGATTGTATCTCCTTACGATGCTCCACTGCCTTGCGGACTAGACCTTTAGGTCAAAGGCTCCGGGTGTGGCCCTGTAAGAAAACCACCTGCTTCAGTCTGGGCACCTGGGCAGTATCACAGCCCTCACACAAATCGAATGAAATTTGTGAGGCGCACATATATCTGGTGCTTCCTTGTACCAATATTTTTGTGTTTAAATAAATAAACATAAACATCACGAATATTTTAGTTTCTGAAAATTTTCCTCGATTTTTAATTTATGAACGTCTGTTTTTGAGAATTCAGTTTACTCTGATTTTCATCATAAACAATAATGCTAACTTAAAAGTAGTGTATTCACTGCATGAAATTCACCGAAAAATTTATAATAGAATGATCTGCTACCTTAAAATATTATAAACTTACTGACGTGTTCGAAATTCTTATTTTCAGGTACACAATTACTCGTGTAATAAATTATCAGTTCATTTGATCTTAATGATTTTGCAAAAAAATATGAAGACTCATTGTTCATCATATTTTTAACCTCATCTGATACTGAAAAAGCTTTAGGCTTGTGATAACCTTCCATCAGTATACAGGATGAGCTCACAGAGTACTTCGTCGAAACATGATGAACTTCGTGAACACATTTTTGATTACTCCAATTACTTTTCTACAGAAGATGAGAACTCTAACTGGAAGCGTTCAACTAGTGATGCGAGCTTTTTTCTTGACGGAAAGCTTCCCATCGACGAGTGGTAATGTTACATTTCAAAGTTTAACAACTAATCCGTGGTTTTTCATTTTAGTGACACATCGGGAAATGTTTCAGAACAAGCACGAGTGTATTGGAACTTACCAGAAGCCGTGGAAGCCTCTGTAACACCTAGCTGTGGATTAGACAGATCACAACGCAGCTATGAAGTGCGAAAATTAGAAAAGGTTTCAACTGGATCTGGTAACTTAAATGATAGTGTTTTAAACTATGTGACGTACATTCCGAAACCTCTTTGGCTTTTTAGTGTTTTACGACCTACTTAAGTACTGCTTTTTATTAGTTTTTTCGTTTTCTTCGCAAACGAACATGAAATAATATTCCGTGTATACAAAACAAATTCCAATACATCACAACAGACACTTTTTGACTTTGATAGAATAAATTAACTGAAAGAGTTGTATGATTGTCTTGGTTTACAAAGTTCAAAGTTCAAATAATACTGATCTTAGCTAGATCATTCTTGAAAACTGGAAGCGCTAAACGAACTTTTTGTTTTAGTGTGGGACTTCTCGACAGTGCCCATCCGTGACTTTGCACGCAGAAGTTGAACCTAGGGCCCCTGATTACGCATGTAATCGCTTCATGTCTAGACCGCTGAGCCAGTGTCCAACGACGTTAATGCCCAACTTCAATTAATCCACGATATGACGCAACCTTCATCCATTGAATTTTATGGATAAATACTTTATCCTCGACGCGGATTGAACTCCACTTGTCACGATTTTTCACTAGAACTTCAGGAGTTAAATTTTGAAGATAGTTATTGGTGAGCACATGATATCATAAAATAGAATCTATTGAAGAAATCTAAATATCAGAGGGTAATAGAAAAAAAAAGCTTAAGATTAATTGCACTTTGAATGATAATGGTTTTCAGAATATTTTGCAACAAGAATAGCAAGGAACTAGGTCTGGAATAATTTAAACAAGTTTTTATTATCAATCTAAACTACAGTTGAATTCACAATCAGTGATTTTCACTCTTTTAGAATACAAAGTGATATCTAGATAGTAACCGTAATGTCTATTATACTTTAAGGAACTTAAAGTAATTGATTAGAAATTTTGTCTAATAATTGAACAAATATCAACCTGTAAACTGTTTCTTGTTTATATTTGATAATGTTTCGTACACCTCGAACCAGACTACCATTTTACGAAACTGCAAAAGTGTAGTGTTAAAGTGCTATTTTTTGTTTCAAATTTATTTCATACACATAGTTCCCCTTATCGTCTTGAACAGAGCAAGAACAAAGGTTCTAGCAGAATAGCATGAATTCATTTTATTTTGTTTGGTTCTCAACAGCTGCTTGCAACCTGTAATATGTAAAAATCATAATTACAAAATAGGTTTAAATACATGGAAGATTTTAATTAAAGGTTATTTAGATGACACACCAATATAGTATAACAAGGGTGTAAGTAAATACAATAGACTGAATAAAATATTGTAAATATATACCATGTGTAAAAGAACATTCTACAACATTATTGTAACAAGGGTTCAGTGGGCTAGAAACAAGTGACTACGTAGTAAGTAAATGCTGATAACAATAGAATAAGTAAAGCTTGGTTAATAAAATAAGATCACTAATCTAGAAAACAGTCAACATAGAAAGACGTAATGATGTAATAACATGAACGAGTTGGAAAGTTTTTACAATGCAATAAAGGAGTATTTGTCACCAAGACAAAAAAAGATTAATAGCCATCTACTGTTGAACACATAAATCAGGTTTTCGGCACCTGAATAGCAGCGTCTCCAGAAAACTTCAGAAGACTGGAGTTTTGCTGTTTGTTAATCACCTTAAAAGATTGCAAGGTATCGACCTGATGCTCTCTATCCAAGAGATATCTAGTAATTGAGCTGTTTAAAGTCGTTCTTTACCTTGTTCTGAGGCTTTTTGCAATATGTTCAAAAAATCTAAGATATGGCGTCCTTTCTGTTCAGCCCATGTAACTTATAAACTTAGCTAATTTCATGTTAATACACAAATTAGTTAGTGAATAGTGCAAGAAGGATTTTAGAAATCCAAATAAAATATAAATAACTGAGCAAGATGCTAGAATTGGGTATCATATTAAACCTTTTTGAAATGTGATCTGATTGTAACATCTTATCAATTCTTGCTTATTAGGATTCCTTGTATCAATATCCTTATACTTATTTTTGCTAACTAGTGACCAACTTTATTTTTATTAGTTGAAGCATTCTGAATTTCATTTATAGTACTGGTATTTGAGCATTAAATGTCTTAAACCACTGAATGAAAACGAAATGAAATAGAAGGAATCTATGTTATTCTGCTTACATTGTTGTCCTTGCTCTTTTTAAGTTAATAGAGGAAAGAATGTGTATGGAATATCTTATTTGTTAGGGTGTTGGCACTAACGTGTTCATGTTGTTAGCTGTAGTAAAATATTTTAATCTAAGGAATTTGATTGGCTGTTAGTTGTAATCTTATACACACATTTGTGTTTGGTTTAGCAACATCACGTGTTCAGGTGCATCGCGTTCATTTTCAAGAGCATAACTTAACACCAATCATGAGAAAAGATGGAACAAATCGTTCACAGTCTACATCATTTGCACCATTTCAAAATATAGACAGTGCACGTTTACTGAGACAGTTTCAAGATCAGCAGCAACAAAAAGACTATAATCTTGATTCAACTAGATTATTATCTGTTCAGCATCGTTCAAAATCCGATACAAATCAGTCAATATCATCAAGTTCTAAATTTGTTTTAAGGACTGCTGATCATCAATCTGATCTAACAAATAACGACGCAATTATTATGGGTAATAAGGCTGTTAAAAAAGAATATAGTAAAGAATCAACGACATCATCATTATCAAGTGTTCTTAATAATAGACTTGACACATTTATCAATCATACTAGTGATAATGTTGATAATAAAATTTTTAATGATATTAGTCCTAGAAGTAATCACAATTTTCAAGTGATTGAACAAAAAATGAAATCAGAAATGGAGAAACTAAGACATATTTCGTCGTCACCCTTCACTGTCTCATCATCATCATCATCATCATCTCTGTCGACCATCGTACAGCCGTTAGACAATATTGATAATATTATAACAACAATGTCTACAATACCACAAGACAACAATTCCGTACTTGTACGAAACGAAAAAGACATGAATCGTTTAAATGAAGAATATAAGGTAATGCTTGCATTTAATTATACAAAGTTAAGATAAAATTAATTAATTTTACTCTATTCAAAATTAATTTTTGTTGCACACTTTTTGTATAGACGTCATCTTGTAGTTTGTAATTATTTATCATAATTATTCCCATAATAGCATTTATGGCGGTGTTCATTCAATTCTTTTTCATACATAATTATTGCATAACTATTGTCTAGAAAAGTCAAATTGAATATAATGTATTTCATATGCCCATATATGTTACTAAATGTTTAGTATCGATTTTAATATTACTTTTTTTTTAAATTAACCAAATCATATAGAGACTGACCAGTTGCAGTCCTAAACATCAATGGGAAGATTCAGACAAACATTATTAAGTGAATTTCAACTTCACCCCATTGCACAAGCAAGTGGCTATCAGGACTCAGTAGCTGAGTAGATAACGCGTTGCCGTTTGAAGTGAAACGTACTGGATTCGAGTTTCAGAGTGAACATCAACTCTGAGATGCAGGTACATCCAGCTGACGAGTCCGAAATAGGACGAAACGCGCGTGCTGGATTCCACTGCTGGCCACTATCCATCTTTGCTTACATATTCAACAAAGTTGAAAATAAATCCTATTGTTCTAATATTTCTACAAAAGCCAAATAAAATAGATAGTTTTCATGTTTTTGTGTTTGATAAACGTATCCACCACCTTACAAAATACATTACTGTTTATACAAGTTTATTGTGTTTACTTACGGGTTTTAATGTTAGTAACTTTCTTTTTATTTCCAACAACATTTACATAATTTCTATGCAAATAATATGTTGAGGTAAACTAATAATTATGGAATGAAATATTATAAATAGTTTTGAACTAATTTTAATTGAAAATTTGAAAAAAGATAAAATGTATCTGTCTGAATATTAAAATTAGATAGTGTTTTTCCAAAAAATTTCTTCGAAATAAAATTGTGCTAAATTGTACTTTTATTTTCTAATTTTGTACAACTATTGATTTCTCCATTAAATTACAATAATAATGTATAGGTCTAAGTTGGAGTAAATCTAACGATTTATAATTTGGATAGGAAAGAAAATCCTCGAACAATAATTTTTTTAGGTTTTGTACAGCTGATGAAGTGTTTCAGTTAAGCTTGTTTGAAAAAAATGTGACAACTTCGTACTCTGAGAAAGTGAACTACACAGGATATGAATCAATGCTATTCATAGGGATATTAGATTTTGTAGCTTTTTTTGTAAACCCTTTTATGATACACATAAATTAACTTATTTGACAAAGGTTATGAATCAAGTTAGATTTAAATTGGTTTCCCATGTTGTTTTATCCACTTTTTTACATGAACATATCATACGTGTAATCACTAAGTATGAGAGCATGAATACAAATCACAATAGATAGTTTATCAATATTATGACTGGTACAGGAGTTCGATTATTCTACTAGCCGTCATTGAAATATTTGATCAACCTGTAAATACAGTTGGTATTAAGATATTTGTTTAATAACTCCATGTGACTATCAGTGATGAAATAAGTCTAGAACTGGACACTAACCTTTTTTTCAATGACATCACGATGTCATTTTAAAAAACTAGGTTTAATGTTAATCATATGTGAAGCGATCGAACTATAGAAATTATTGAATGAACTCACTATTTGATAAAATAAAATGCTTTAGTTAAAATAATGTTTGTATTATGTCGCCATCTGGCATCATTCACGTCTACATTCCCTATGAATTTATTAATCAGAAATCGTAAACTGTACAAATTACACCTTATAGCTCATTGAATTTAAGTAACTACTTTATTTTCCAGTTTCACAGTATTCAGTACGTTGTATCTTTAAAATTTACTTGATTTGTGATGTGAAAGTAAAAGCGATTGAATAATTAATCATTTCTGTCAAACTTCATTTATCTCAACAACAGGATTATTTCTCCAGATTTGTCGTAAAGTAAAAGGTTATCAACTAAAATAAAGTTAAACGAAAATTTAAAACAATAAACTAATAAAATTCTTGTAAGTGTATACAGTACATCAACCAGTCAATAATGACTTAAGGTCTAACATAAATGTTTATCTGCTCAATTCACCGCACTTCATTTCAGTAAGATAATAGAATATGACTATCATTAAAATCAACGTAATAATATCAGACTCATTGAATAATTAAATAGAGAAAATATAATCCAAATGATTGAAATAATATGAAATCCAACTTTTAGGTGAATACAAAAAACAAATGCGTCTACATTGCCATAAATGGTGTCATCGACCATTAATTGACCAGTCTACTCTCATTCTAGCCTAAATGGCATACAAAAATTAACGATGTTTGTGCAACGAATTTCATTATTGATTAATGAAGGTTTCCGATCTCTCTAACAAATTTACCGGCTTTCGCTTGGTACCTAACTCTTGTTAATTTCTTCTGTGTTTGAGAAATTCTTATCAAACATCCATTATTAGTTACCGGCAATTAACCTGTTTATCCAACACTAGATACTTGTTTCTTTCAGCCCTAGAATGGTATGAATTAGGCTGCTGGGTCGTATAATCATAATTTCATAAATAGATATACATTTCTCAACGGTCGTTAAAGGTTTATATATATCAAATACATAGTTACAATATCACACATCTATAAGTCTGAAATTGCCAGACAGCTCTACTGGTTTCTGATAAGTTGATAGGTAAGTGCGTATTGATTTAGTGATGAGATCGATGGAGTTCAGAATATAATCAGAGTGAAAAAAATCCACCATTCTAAAAGTTTATCGATCATATGTGTGTTCAATACTCATAATACATTTTCCGACAGTTTGCTTACTGATTAACTTAAAGAATCTATAGTGACGGTAATGTATAAATAATTTTCGGTATCTCATATAATTAAGGTTATTGTTTTCTATTTCTTCAGCACTTTCAATTTCTTCTTACTTTATCCAAATTAATCCTCAATATAAGTACGGGTTTGATTTGTTTCTTACTTTTAATGGTGTTTCCTCTACTGGACAACTGATAGACTAAGTTTTTGATTACATGAAAAATTACCTAAATCATCAAAGCTTGTACGGCAACATCCTCACAGTTTGACCACTTCGGTTGTTTAGTTATGCTATGGAATTTAGTACATTTACTATAATTCTGTCAATTACAACAATGACAGTAAGCGGAACAACAGTTACCTTAACGTTAGTTCTAAAGCTACGATTCCTTGTTCATTCATTAAAATTCGATTTATCGATCAATTCGGTAATTTATGTATATTTTCACAAAATGCGTGGCTAAATGGAAGTTTCAAATAATTTTTTTAATGACTAATAACACACACAAATCATAAACTAACAATTTTGTTTGGCAAATTTTGGTTGAAGTTACATGTTTTCATTCTCACGAAGAAATATATTTCTTAACAAAAAATCAAATTACCGTAATTTTCTTTGTACTTTTTAGACCATAGTTAACTGTGAATATTGGTTAAATAAAGCACGTCAGGCATGTGAAAATCAAGCTGATTTGAACGTTTTAACTGCCGATCTTATAAAACCTGATGGTCTTTTAGAAACAATTGCATCAAGACTTATCAAACCTATTGAGTCTACTTCGGAAGCGCCTATTATTGACTTTACTCGGAATACCCATGAGCAATATTCTCATAACGATGATCTAAAAACAAGTGAAATATTCACAGAATCTACAGATAATGTAGATGGAAAACCTGTGAAATTACTTTCCAGTACATTATCGGACTTAAATCTTCCAAAGGTCAATCAGTATAATGAAGCTAACAAGCGAGTTGTTATTGGTTCAGCACGACTACTGAGTCAGGTATGTGAAATTTTGTTCGATTTGCACGTATTGTCACTATGTCTAGAACTCTTCAACAAAATGTACATGTATAGTATCACAATTATTATACACTATAATTATGTATATTATCAGTTTTTTATGAATAATGGTTATTTAATATCACCAATTTCAGTGAAGTTAGTATGGACAGTTGAGCATAAGGCCTTTTAACAATTTACGTTATGAAAACATATAAATTAACATTGTTCTTTTTTAAAAATAAATTATTCCATCATAACCAATAAATGAAATTGTTCTTGAAATCCTGAGATAAAAGTAGTAAATTAATTTTAGTATGTGAGTAAATAAATATTATGCCTTTATCTGATATAAACGAACCCATCCTGAAACCATAATTTATTCAAATACAAATAATCTGTTTCAAAGTTACTTAAGGACTAAATTAGTAATCACTTCTGATGAATATATGCCATTTAAAAATCAAATGATCTTGTATTTGTACAAAATATTGACTAAACTGCGCAAATTACATTATTGCTACTTTTAACTGTAATAGTGGACATTATGGGTCTGATATCCCTTGTCTGTGAATTGAATTCGAGTATATTTGTAAATTTTTTAGCTGTAGAAAGTTGAAAAATAGTTTTAAGGTTTTTACTAATCGACATTATTGATAAAATACGTTTTATATTAGGAATATTTTTGATAAAATTTTTATTATTCTTTATATACTACTGTTAAATCAATTTAAATATATCAGTTAATATACGTAAGATACGAAAAATACGTAATAAGACACATTAAGTTATAAGAAATTTAGTTTTTTTTCTCCATTGATTGAAAATTTAAGAATACAATTGTCATCTATTCCGTGCAATTTTCTTGTTATTTATCATTTACTATAAGCGTAAGTTATATGTCATAATAATTAATGTGCTCCTTAACCCAGTTTTGTTTTAAAAGTCTACAAAAAATGTGTGGAAACATATTTTGGTGTAGTGTCGTAATGTAAAAGATTTATGTATGATGAAAGTTTTTACATAACTCTTTAAGCAACAGATATTTTAAAAATTAGGATTGATTGCTCTCTGTTGGTGAACTATCATTAATTCGTCAACTTGGAACACCCTTTATAAATTTCTTTTGAACACTGGCAATTAAAATCAGTTCTGTTTGACAAGCGTCGTCAGCTAAAGAGACAACCATAAGGAGATTTGAACTTAAAAGAAATGTGAATATCCTATTTTCGAGTAACAATTATTATTTAGAAAATCAGTCGATCATCAGCTCTGGGTGTGGTAAAGGACACCCAAATAAAATAAGATTCTATGTTTGAAAGTATGTGGCAAATACCAGTGAAGCTTGGTTTTGGAAAGTTCCTACATACTAATGATTCTCTATATTTTGAGACTGAATGTAATAAACAAGGGATATATAGAAACCAGATTTTGTAGATTAGCTTTCATGTGATTAGCATAGATAGTATTCCTAGCTTGATTTAATAGTTTCTTTTGTACAGGATTCTGAATAAAACATCCCTTCGATTTCTGTTAGGACATCAATATGACACAGTTATCTTAATAAATACACTGGGCTGACAACCGCTGCATTGCAGGTTCGAACCTCACTCGGTTTAAAGAATCAAATGTTATTCTTATCATGAAACTAGTGTTTTTTGTATAAAGTTTTTTTAACAAGCAATATTTTTATATTTATAGATTTTGTCAGAAAATCATTTGCTTGAAATACTAGATAAGAAATTAGTTTCACAAAAGCATTCTAATTTTTCGCATAAAGATGACTTTGACAAAGTAGATAAGTTGATAATTCAGAAACAGGAATGTTCTCCTTATAACACTTCACCGACCTATGATAATGATTATGAAAAATCAATTGACACGAATGGTACCACAAAATTATCATCTCCCACAACCATATCATCAACGCAAAATTCTCTACTCTACAATGATAAGTTACCATCATATGGGCATATAACTAGTTTACTCAAGAATATTATCGGAAAATGTTGGGAATACCGTGAAGATGTAGATATCTATCGTGAATATTTGGGAATCTTAGAACGTGAGTCATTATTTATTTGAATCTAGTGTGAATATACATTTTGCGTACAATATTTACATTGTTTAATATATGAATAATGGTTATTCTCAACTGAGATCACTTTTAAAAAACAGTTTTTGATAATTAAAAAAAATTTCGGTTGTAGACATATCTTTCTCATGAATATGAACTTTTTATCTCCAATAGAGTTGATTAGATTAGTTTATACTGCCTTGAACTATGAATAAAAGTTGCTACGTTCAGTACGTTTTATCTCAGTGCCAGTCTATGGGGTGTTGTTTCAAAGAACTTATTATTTATGAAAATATAAAGTCGTACATACATATCTAAACGAAATTCAAATGAAAGAGGAACATTGTTGATTTGAATAGATAAACTATTCACTAAAAATATCCATACTATACACTACTTTGGATCGGAATCTTAAATGACATTCTGATGAAGGTTGTCAAACATTTCTAGTAGGATTCCCTTTACTACCACTTATATCACAATTTTTTTTAAACTGATGTCTTTAGTTGTTAGAAAAAAGTACTGGGCGATCGACCTTCCAGATACGTTCGGGTGTCTCGTTCTTTTTGTAAGACTGAACTGAATGATTTATTTGAAAAGGTAGTTATAGTATTCTGAGTAAACAGACTTTTTACTTGAAATGTGATAACAGCTGGATTAGACTGTTCTATTGACCTTAAGGCATACTTTACAACCACCCCTAAGTAATATTGTTTCCGGACATTGTGCTCACAGTTCATACTAATACTCATTATCCTTTATGCACTTGAGTCATCTCTAAATATATCTGAGTTACAAATAAGCATATTTGTGTTTTATAAATCAAGTTCACATTATTCGAACGTCGTTTATTTATGTTAATAATGATCCTATCAAATCTAAAAGTTGCATAAATATATCTTCATAAAAAATACTTCTGTCATTTTAGGGTCGTAATAGAGAAAACGGATGATGAAATGTAGAATAAATAAGACTGTAATCAGGAATTTTTATCTTTATCTAGAAAATATCATTTCGTTTTGTCATTTTATTTTTTATTGATTTTATCATCTAATTTAGCTTTATTAAAGCATACAGAAACAATGTGTGATACAGTAGTTGAAAATGGTGGTCTTCGTAGTTTAATTTATGCTTGTCGTTCAAGTGATCTACCATCTTTACGTCATGCAGCTGTCTGTCTAATGAGTTTAGCGCTATTCGGTGGGAGTGGAAGTCATAGTGAAATGATGCGCCAACATGCAATTGAATGGTTATTTTGTTTAGCGTTTCATCAAGATGAAGTGATTAGATATTTTGCATGTTTAACTAGTGCTGTACTATCTACTAATCCGTAAGTAATCCAGCTTGACTGTTAATGTTTTTCAGCTTTCATTCATATAATAATGCCTTGTTTAGTAATATACATTTATTCTATTGAAGCAATAATGAATGGTTTTACTGTTATCATTTCATGTACCGTATAGTTTGATGAGTATGATTATGGATCAATATTCTTGATTTGTTTATTGTAGCTCTTAAGTTTCCTAATTTAGATCATTTACATGTTTCGTTTTAAAACTATGGTTAAATGATCGTAGCGAAATTAATTGCGGTAGGTTTTTTGACTTGCTCATTCATCAATCGTTCTAAATTATGCCTAATATGTTAAATTTTTATGAATCGTGGGTGTTTAATGAAAAATAAGTAAATAATGAATCATAAACAAAACATGGAACTATTTTAAACATAATGTTTTAAAATAAATGTACATAAATGAATGTTGTTTCTTTTTCATTAACAAACTACATTAGTAAATGTTTTTCGATTAGTTAAATCTAGCTCTAGTTTTTGATATAATCTAAGCTCATTAGTAAAAGATTGGTTGGAGGTATCCCGACCGTTGCTGCTACCTTGACGTGGTGATCGGGTTTGCCTATCGTGATGAAGCAATCGAGTTATGCTGGCTGGAACAATCGTTCCTCAAGGTCCTACCATGCCAGGCAGGTCGGTTGAAGAGCAATGAGACTAAAAGCAGCAAACCCAAGGTCCGAAGGCGAAGTCGTACTGCTGACTGTACAGAGATGTGACAGCAGTAAGGTGTTTCCTTCAGACAACCAGCATGACAGTGATGCTGCCTTCCCACAAGGAGGGGTGGGGTTAGAAAAGGTCGACCCTAAAAATGCACACCGCCTTATCCCACTGATATCCCTCTCCGGCAGTAAGGTCCTTTGAAGAACGGAGCTAACACAAAAACTACCCACAAAAAGGTCGTGTGTGACCGTACTCAAGCAGTTGTCCCTTGGGCACTGCGGTCACGCTCTCAGGTCATTAAGACCACTTCTAACCCAATTTCCTTTTCAGGTATCTCTAGAAGAACCCTTCCACGGTGTGGGCAACCGGGAAGTGATAACTGCCCTCATAACTCTAACAGCACTCAAGACCATTGTATTCATAGTCAATCTCCTTCTTCAATTCCTACTATTTCTTCTACCTTGACTTCCAACACTAAACTTCCTCTTTCGGTTTCCTCCCCAAGTGTCACCATGGCCAACGATTCTAGTGCGCGAAACGCTGTCCCAGGTCTACTAAAACCTCGCTCCAAACTACACATTGGAGCCTTCAACGTACGTACTTTAAGTCGAATCGGTCAACAGGCCTCCCTAGCTAAAACCCTAGAATCTCGTACCATTGATGTATGCTGTGTCTCCGAAACACGCATACAGGATCCCAGTGTGGTCATTCACTTGACCTCACCTCGCCAAAATGGACAGCCAACGAAATACACCCTCCGTGTATCTGGCGACTCGGTGGCTAGTTCTCGTGGACTTGCAGGTGTAGGCATAGCATTATGTACAAGGGCAGAACAGGCACTACTAGAATGGATCCCCGTTGACAGTTGCTTGTGTGCTGTCCGGCTAAATGGCTCCGTAAGAACTCGGAAGGATAGGGACACACGTCGTTGCCTTTTCGTCGTTTCTGCCTACGCTCCCACTGACTGCAGCCATGATGAAGGGAAAGATGACTTTTACGGTAAGCTCTCTGAGCTTCTTCAGAAAGCTAAGCGCTCAGACATAGTAGTCGTAGCGGGTGACTTTAATGCCCAGGTAGGCAGCTTAAATCAAACAGAAAGACATTTAGGTGGGTGTTTTAGTATTCCGGCTCAACGAACCGATAATGGTGATCGTCTATTGCAACTATGCTCAGACAATCGTTTATTTTTAGCAAGCACTAATTTTAAGCATAAGGAGAGACATCATCTAACATGGCGACCACCTGCACCAAACCAACGATGGACTCAAATAGACCATATTGTCATTAGTCATCGTTGGAGAGGTTCAATAGAAGGTTGTCGCTCGTATTAGAATACTTGTTTAGACTCTGATCACGCTTTAATACGAGCGCGCATTTGTTTGCGCCTCAATGGACGCAGGAAAAGTACACTAAGAAGACCCATTAGGATTGAACTGGAGGACGAGAAAGCCAAATGCGAATTCCAGAAACAACTGAGTTCACATCTAGGCATTTCTGTAAACGAGGCTGACCCAGATGCTGCTTGGAAAGACATACGAACAGCTGTGGAAACAGCAGTAACATCTATTAGTTATTTAAACCATAGGGCTCCAAAAAACCAGTGGATTTCCTCTAAGTCTATTTCACTGATGGATTCATCCCATCAGGCTCTGAACATGACGAAGAGCGTAAACAAATTAGATCTAGGTTAACTAAAAGCCTAAGGAACGATCGTGAGCAGTGGTGGGCAACGAAAGCAAAAGAGATGGAAAAGGCAGCGGCTGTAGGCAACACCAGGCAACTATTCAGACTAATAAAAGAAACCGGAATTAAGAAGTCAAGTGTAAGTGAGACAATCTCGGAAAAAGACGGAACCCTTATCTGCTCTCAACCCAAACGTTTAGAACGATGGGCGGAACAATTTAAAGAGCAGTTTAGCTGGCCTCCAGCTACTGCACAACTACCCACTATTCCCAGAAAACCTGAATGGAACATTGAAGTAGGCCCTCCGACCCTACTTGAAGTTCAAAAGGCTATAACTAATCTGAAACGAGGAAGAGCAGCTGGTCCAGATGGATTGGCTCCAAAGGTCTTTAAATATGGTGGTCCAATTTTAGCGATTCGGTTGACTAATATTCCGGCTAAAATCTGGGAGACGGACGTAATCCCATCCGACTGGTCACAATCACTGATTGTCCCAATATATAAAAAGGGGTCAAAATCATCCTGTGATAACCATAGAGGGATTAGTCTGACCAACATAGCATCTAAAATACTAGCCTCAATAATTATCAGGCGCCTAACTAAGACTCGTGAACTGCAAACACGAGAAAATCAGGCTGGCTTCAGACCTGGTCGTGGCTGTATCGACCACATATTCACCATTCGTCAAGTTTTAGAGCACAGACACGCTTATCGGCGTCCGACAATGATAGTTTTTCTTGACTTGAAAGCAGCATTTGACTCTGTAGACCGAGAGGTTCTGTGGCAGTGTCTGTCATTGAAAGGTGTACATGAGAAGTACATAAACCTAGTGAAGGCTCTTTACTCGAACACTACCAGTCGAGTGAGAGCTTATGGCGAACTGTCATATGATTTTACAACCTCAAGTGGTCTCCGTCAAGGTTGTCCACTATCCCCATTTTTGTTTAACATCACTCTCGTCGACTGAATTTTCAGGAATTGATCTTCTACCAGGAGGACCACTAAGCGACTTAGAATACGCAGATGACATAGTCCTGTTTGGTGAAGACGCTGGCAAAATGCAGAGTCTTCTGTTGGAACTCAGTAATAATGACAGGATGTTTGGGATGCGTTTCTCCCCATCCAAATGTAAATTGTTACTCCAGGACTGGCCTGCATCAACACCCAAACTAAGGATAGGGAGTGAAGTAGTCGAACGCGTTGATAACTTCACTTATCTTGGAAGTCTGATCAGCCCTAATGGGTTGGTGTCTGACTAAATCTCAGCACGGATTCAAAAAGCTCGTTTGGCTTTTGCCAACTTACGTCACCTATGGCGAAGACGAGATATCCGTCTATCAATTAAGGGACGAGTATACTGCGCAGTAGTTCGCTCTGTTCTACTTTACGGCTGTGAAACATGGCCATTAAGAGTAGAAGATACTCGTAGGTTACTAGTATTTGACCACAGATGCCTTAGAAATATTGCTCGCATCTGCTGGGATAACCGGGTAAGTAATAGTGAGGTTAGACGCAGGGTATTAGGGAATGATGGTAAATCAGTTCATGAGGTGATGAATCTTCATCGACTGAGATGGTTGGGCCACGTGTTACGTATGCCTGAACACCGATTACCACGACGCTCTATGATGACTAGTATAGGGGATCGTTGGAAGAGAGTTAGGGGCGGCCAAACCAAAACATGGCATCAGTGCTTGAAGTCACTAACTTCTAGCCTGAGCCATGTTGACAGATGCAGACTACCTGGTTGGGGTCCGCGTGACTATCGTAAACAATGGTTGGAGACTCTAGGTGACATGGCTCAGAATCGATCAGAATGGCGTAGGTGTATACACTCTTTATCTTCCCTTAAACCTTGAGATTAAAATTGCTTCATAACTTTCTTCCTTCCTATACTATATCCTTATATACAACCTATAATTTATATACTACCACCACCACTAAATTAACTACTTCTATGAGTCCGGTGTTGATCTTGTTGTGCTAACGAGGTATGGCAACTTGGACCGATGCATATATGTGCCTGGTCCTACGTTGCAACTGACTGACTGACTGGTTGGAGGTATCTGTCACTTTCACAAATCTCTACTTTAACTGAGTTAATGTCTTAAGAAGTTTATAGCGTAATTCTTTTCATGTTTTTTTCTTTTGCTTGCCAACTAAATGACTGCTATAACTTCATATAAAGTCACGAAATTTTTTACAGTTTCCTGCTCTAAAAACTCAACTAAAATGTTGTTAATTATAAACTATCGTGTCTAAATATGATTAAAATTATTAATAGAGATTGAGAATAATTGGATTCGGTATATTTCTTGAGTGTTATGTTCATTGAGCTATAACAAAAAAACAACTTATGAGTATTTTCTCAGTACCACTCTTGAATGTTATATTCCAATGTCTATATTACTAAGACTTATAAGAAACGTTATTTATATTTTTCCCACTAACTAATGAAAAATGTTAATCAAGTCTATCTAAAAAGGCCATCTGAATTGTTATAAACACCCTAAATTCTCTGTACATCAGCAATCCTTTGAGCAAAGTGTTCTTTCTATACTTCGCGCCTTTTCTCTCGTGTTCAAGTTGTTGTGTAGATTTGGCGTCGGGTTATTATAATAACTTAGGAAACCTATTCAGCCCCCGAATGCCCTGGTATGGCCGAGAGTGGGGAGAGTCCGCCCTCCCTCTCGAAATGCTCTAATATGGCCACGCGTATATAGCCTCTGGCAGGGAAGTTTTACTCACTGCCGTCTCGTGGCGGGGGTGTTGTTCACAAAAGTGAGAGGACGAAAAGCGAATGTCCGGCGCTTTAACAGGGTTGGTGGATATGGGGGATCCACCTAGGGGAGTTGGAAAATCCTGATTCCAAACCAATGTTGTACATGGGCTCCAGTATCCTGAAGGAACAAATGGCGTATGAACCAATCAACTAACCAACCATGGGACTGCATCTCCTTACGATGCTCCACTGCCTTATGGATCAGATCTTTCGGTCAAAGGCTCCGGGTGTGGCCCTGTAAGAAAACCACCTGCTTCGGTTTGGGCACCCGGGCAGTATCACAGCCCTCATACAAATCAAATAAGATTTGTGTGGCGCATATGTATTTGGCGCCCCTTTGTACCAATATTTATGTGTTCAAATAAATAATAATAATTCAGTCGGGAGATTTATCAACTACTTTTGTTAAGTTATCCACAAAAATTGTATCTCTAAATTTTAAAAAAGTACTAAGAGCCCGAACATCTTAACCTTAGTCATTGTGCTGAAGTTGATGATATTTCCACTTGGTAGTCGAATTTCCAAGTGCATCTCTATAGTGCTAGTCACTTAATGAAGTATTTTTCTCGTTTGATATTTCTTGATCGAGGTCAAAGATTGATAATCGATTGGTGTATAGGAAGAGGAAGTACGTAGAGGGGAGGGAAAATCAGAAGTGAGAGAAGAGAGAAAGGAAGTATTAGGAGAAAAGCGGATAAAGAGAAGGGGAAGAAGAGGTAGAAAAACTGAGAGAGAAGAGAAAGGTAAAGAAAAAGGAAGAGGTGAGGAGGGGAGAAAAAGAAGTTGAAGGAAAATCATTAATAAGAATGAGCATGTTTTAAGTTTTGGTAGCCTTTCGAACTTATTCTCCTGTTCTTATAAAAGCAGTAACTTTCGTTTCACTCCCAAGTACTTAAATTATGCTTAGACTGCTAAGAGCACTTTTTTGTTCTTTGTCAGCTTAACTTCCTTTTTCGGTAATATTTTGATAATCTCCAAGAGAATGTTTATTATTAGTAGGACATTTGCATGCTCACTATTTATATGCTGCAATTATTCTCTTCTGTTTTTAAGCGAATTGACCGCTGCAGTAAATTCTTCTTGTACACTCGACCTAGTGATGCCTTTTGTACGTTCACATTCACCAATAGAATTCGCTCGTCAACATTTAGTTGCTGCTTTTCAACACACTTGTAAGAATAGCACACCCCATACTTCAGAGTCACAGACATCTTTTACAAACAATCAGTCGGACACTACAAAATATTGCTGCGAAAATCGGTATACAGGGGGGACAGCCGATTGGTTAAAACGTTTAATACCAGTTATGTTCAGTAAACAATTTGAACCACGTGTTTTGGTTGCTTTTCATTTTGCGGTTGAAGCTACACTAAAATCTGATATGAAATGCAGTCAGGTAAGTGTGTTGCTAATTTAATTTTATCTTCCAGTGTAGTACAACTTGTAATAATTCAATATCAACTTACTATCAATAAACATTTATATTTTCATAGTTATTATTGACTGTAGGCCAATTCAGGTAGACAAGCATACATACTATATATTACTGATAACCTACAGATGGTGTACAATTTTGTTCGAGTTAATTTATAATCTATTTGATATAACTAAAACAGTTTGTGGAAAAGTACTTATCCCTCTAACTAGGATATTATATTTCAAAAAACTGTTAGAAAGTTTATGAAAAGCAAAAATAAAATAACATCTGTCAGATTTGCATTACTTGTTGACCTACACATTTTGAGACAATGTAAACAAGTCTTTTGATTGAACCTATAATCAAAGAAAGAAAACATTTTAATAACTCCATGTGGTATGTTTGGGCAATTTAAAGTATTCATTTGTTTCACGTAATTAAATGAACTTGACAAACGTCTTCATATCCAACCAAAAGTGTCAAATGAGTTGTCTGTAACTACTTACTTCGCTCAATAATATATATTCCCAATTTTCCCCAACCAAATAGTGTTCTCGATGTTTCAAAGTTCTATCTATAAATATATGAGTTCTCTGGTGGTTCTTCACATGCAAAATATGCTTTTTGGTCATCATATTTTATTCACAATATAGTGTAAATATGAAATACTGTCTTTACCACCAAGTGATTTGTATTTAGTTCACGCTAAACCTTTTCCTGATGTACTCCTGCACCAGCTAACAAATCAATCTCACATCTTCATAACTGGCTTTTAGTTGAATACATACAATATATACGGATACCTGATATCTTCACTGGTCGTTCTACAATTTTAGGTTACTATGAAATCATTTGCTGTGCCATATACTTGTCATTCACTAGGTAGTCAGATATCTTACCTAATTCTGATGATACACATTAGCGAAACTTAAACTTATCTTTTATATACTGATTGTTATCTCATCTGATACTAATAAACCAGGGCTGATAAGACTGAAACGAATGTATTGGCGGACGCTCTCAATACTTCAAAATGTTTATGGGTTAGAAGATTAGGTTTGAGTTACCTGAGTAGTATAACTTGAATCTAAATCGCACTAGTTCTTCAAAAGTGAAATTAAACTATTATTTACTATGAAATAGACCTTTGCTAGAACTTATTTAAAATGCGTACAGAAATTAAGATACTCTGTAATGAAGATACATAACAAACTTTTGAAACACTTTTAAGTCAGGTAAGTAACCTAACTATTTAGCGTTTTGTCTACTTATTTTCAATTGATTGTATCACTATTATTATTCTTTTTCAAGGTTTTTTACGAATCGGATATCGTAGAAATATTGCGTAATGTTGTCTGTAGTTCAACTTTTCTTGAGTCGAAATTCGCGGCAATGGCTCTACATATTTTAGGTGAAGACGTCCCTTGTAGATTGCCAGCCCAAGTACCGTTATGGGATTATGCTGAAGTTGAATGCTGGTTGACTCGAGTCAGTCCATATATGTATATGTTTTGTGTTTTCATCATTACTAATAATAGACTATCAGATTCGTGTTTTATCGAATTAATTAAATATTAAACACTATAAAATGTATATTTGATAGAGCAACCATAAATTCATCTTATTTTCGATCAAAACGGACAATTGTTAGGACCATATTAATGAAATAGAGGTTAACTACATTTTACCAGTTTCCATAATATAAATAGCTGAATTTCTTCCACAAAACGTGAAAACTTGGTTTGAATTCTTAGTTTTATAATATTTCAGAAAAAAACTATTTTGGGCTCGGTGTTATTAACAAGCTTGATTGTTTCTCCGTAAGTCTAAGACATGGACTAAGTAGTTTATAAAAAGTAGATGTCAAGAATTATTGAGGAATAATATATATCTACAACATTGGTCTGGATAAAAGCAATTGAGTATTGTCTTATTGTCTTAGTTTCAAATCCAACAACGACCATCATTGAATAATCTGGAATGAAATAAGTCATAATAATGTCTCACTCTCTCAAGTAGTTTTTAATTCTGTCACTCTGTAGATGGCTGCAATTTGACAGTTCGGGATTAGTGTAAAGAAAAACGCTAAGCCACTTCGCATCAATTCCTTCAATGATTAGGTATCTTGTAGTATCACCGCCATATTGTATATCACCAACTGGCAGAGAACAGCTATGTTGCTCACATGGCTCTACTAACAGAACTACTGTACCTGTGTTTTTTGATCACATGTATGTTATGGTAAACGCTTTGAGACCCATGCAACAGTATACATTTCGTGTATATTTTTGTTGTTAAGCTTTCAGTAAATAAAGCCGTGAGATTTATTTCGGGCAGTTCCTGTGTAATTTTTCACTAAAATCTATCTCTTTCAGTAGGATAAGACTATGAGGATAGTTGACGCCACCAAGCGATTAGACAATCATTTGGAACCGAGAGCACTAAATACATGTCTCGTCTTAATATCGGACCTTCCCATCACCATTTACCCAAAACATCATCTGGATCATTGATTTTGGATCCAATTATTTATACATATTCGATTTCAATCTGTTTGTGGTACTGATCAACAATCATCTACAACTCTATTCTAAAGAAATGAGAATAACCAAATATTTTAACTGACACTGTAGTACTACATGTTTATGGAGTTATTCAGACAAAATCAGTCTTTTAGAAAAATTGATTTTCTCTTAATATGATAAGGCTATTGGATTTCAACATGACATTTGTTTTATTTTCAGAAAACTGCATTTATGTAAGCCATGTAACTGGATAGTATTTATATTCCAGGGTTGAAAATGCTTGCAATACAAAAGATATATATATATATATATATATACTAGTCAGTTATATAAACTATTTTGAAAACTACCGATGTTTTAGAACTTTCTATTTGACTTGTTAATAACTTTTCTATCCAGTTACTTATATATAAATCATAACCTAGTTTTCCAACGCAGTAGTATTTATGGCTTTACTTTCAAGTGATTATTCTGAATGTAATTGTAGTTTTTTTAATTATTTTTCACACTTTTTACAGTAAAACTGATAGGACACTAATTGACCGATGAAATTTATATACTCTATTTTTAAATGCATAACCTTTGAGATTGAAATTATATATCTAATCTTAAAACTTTAATTTCAACAATGTCAAATGTTAACAGTTACCCTGAATTAAGAAATCTAGCATAACTTTTTTTCAGAGTAGAGCTGTGAAATACAACAGATACTTTGAAATTAAATAACAAGCCTCCAACTTTGTTTTTGTCTTGACTGATATTTACCTAGGAATAAGTATTGGTAATTAAATGGGGACACTTTCACATGTTTGGATTTCGAACTTGCCTCATTTAGCACAAAAATTCAAGAGATGATATTTGGACCGTTTATTTATGAACAAATCAGAAGGAAAAATTTTGATATACTGTTAGACAACCGTATGAAATCTGATACCGTGAGATTCAGTCACTGCCAATGAATATATTTTTAAAATTGAATATTTTCAAGAATTAAATAATTTTTCGTCGTTCTTTTTAACAGTGACTTAATCACCGATATGTCGCTCATAATGCTTTGTTAATTGTACATAAAACAATGCATGGTATCAATAAACAAAAATTTAATTCTTCTTTTTCCTTAGAGAGGATTTGAAGATTTGGCTAGTAAATTCTCAAAGCTACGTGTTGATGGCGATTTATTACTTAGACTAGATGAATTCAAATTAGAGAAGGATTTAGGACTTGAAAATGGAATCACGAGATCTAGGTAAATGTCTGTTATCATTTCATCTCACTGTTTCCTCTTTTTTTTAAAAAAACAACAACAGATTATTACGTGAATTATGCTCTTTGAAGATTAATGCTGATTATTCAGCTGTTGATCCAACTGGAATTTCCGCTTGGCTACGTGAAGCTACGCGTATCACTGCTTTAAATAATACTAATACACCAAGAAATCCAATGACATCAGATTATGTTGTAATTAAGGACGATTTTCAATGGACAATGGCTTCTACTAACGCATCAGAATATACCTCGAAATACTGTTATACACATGATTTATCCTGTTTAAATCAATCATTTGATCTTCTTCAATATACATATAATTTTATTTCAGCCGGTGTGCATTGTCCTTTCTTACCTTACTTATCAGATAAAATGCTTTTAGAAGACTGTCACATTAAAAATGGGATACATCGTAAAAGAATTTTAGAAGCAATACAATGTAAGTAAAATGTAACGTTTGTCTGTTTTAAGGTTCGTTCAAAATGCTTACTATATTAAATAACTGTGTTTTTGATTAATTTTTATATTACTGTTTTGTAAAAAAACACCTTTTAATTGAAAATAAGTCAAGTTATCACTCTGTGAGGATTCTGACCAACAGCGACTCAAACACTTATCTTAAATACGTCATTTAAATCATCTAAAATGAAATAAAGCAGTGAATAAACCATCAATTATTTAGTAACTAATTTATCCATAATTTGCATTTATAGATAGTACGTTTTTCTTCAGTTGATCATTTTATCACAGCAAACAAAGTTTCCACACCTGGTTACAATTAAAAGCTTGTGGGTATAATGTTTTAGTTATATATAGTATTAACTAAAAACCATCATTATAAACTGATGAGCATTTACTGCATGGTATGATTAGTCCATTAGTTTGATGATATGATTTTTATACACTGCGATTCCATCAAGATCATTATCCTCAATTATTAGGTCACAAAGCAGAGTTTTGTGATCACTCATGTACTGGACGAAATCTGTTTGAAACTCTACACCAAAAGACAAATTTCCACTGTTAGATAGAAATTTCTATTCATAATCGCAATAAGAATTTCTTGTGGATGGTGTAAAAAATTCATATGATTATAAACCTTTCAGTTAACACGTTATAAGGTAAAAAGTCTTAAAAAAAATTTTTTTCTGAATTAGAAGTATGTCAAGAGAATTAAGTTTATTTCGTGCTGTTCGATAGCTGATGGCCGTTGTTGAGGATATATTGTTTTAACGACATATGTTAATTTTTGTCTTGATTTGGTGTAGACACTCATATTGTGACGAAACATATTTGATTCCAATATTACCAATTACCAAATTATATCTACTAAAGAGATCTTTTCATTCGAACATCTTGCTGGCTTCGGTCAGGTAACTGAAATATTAGCCCATACACGACTACTGTGCTTCCAAATTTATTTTTTTAACTATTGTTATCATTTTTGATATAACACTCACATTTTCAAATAATTGTACTTTTCTTGTCCCTCATTTTAGCTTCCATATCTATACACAATCAATTACGTCTTACAGATAATGATTCCAAACTAAACGCTTCAAGTAAACCAAACAAGTATATTGATATATTTATTTCTTACCGTCGTTCTACTGGTTCTCAATTGGCGAGTTTATTAAAAGTTCATTTTCATTTACGTGGCTATCGAGTATTTTTAGATATTGATCGTTTAACTGCTGGAAAATTTCATGAATCACTACTTCATTCTATTAGATCATCATATAATTTTGTCCTTGTTTTAACACCAAGAGCATTAGATAGATGTCTAAATGATATACATTGTACAGATTGGATACATAAAGTTAGTTAATTTTCATGTATAAATGAGTTTATTTCATTATTATATAGTCCGTGAATATATATATATATATATATATATATATATATATATATATATATATATATATATATATATAAGATAAATTGTGTGATAACTATAGGAGTAATGAAAGGTTTTCACAAGATTCTTGAAATTAAAAAAACGTGCAAGATGGGTTACGTAATAATTAAACAAGATTTGATGAATTCAACATAATTTAGGAGAATTGAGTGAGGGGGGAGTAGTTTAAATGTACATAAAATAAGATTTCGGTAATAAAAGAGAAATATAACAAACTAAATATTAACGAAATAAAAGTTATGACGGAAAAATTGAATTGCCAGGGTAGTAATAAGTTTATTAATGTGTCTTTTTGAATACATAGATAAAGTTTGAGTTTTTTATCGCAATCGCTTCAGCAAACCGAAGAGAAGCAGCATTTCTTTGTCTACTGATAATTTTAAAAGCTTGAGGAATGTCGATGGTATGCCCGGTGTCAAGTAAATGCCGAGCTATATCACTGTTAAGAGCTCTTGTCCCTCGCAGTCTCAATTTCTTTGGAAGATCGACATTTTAATACATATTTGGTTGTAAGCAGCTGGTGAGAAACCATAGAATATAATTATGCATCCATGTTCGGTCTGGCTTCATTTAAATTCGTAAAGTAAACAAACTGCATGAAAAAAATAGACATTTACCAATTAGTAATTTATAAATCATACTTTCTAAATAGTACACATTATTTTGGTTTAGTAATTTCCAACATAAATTTAAATGAGTTGAGTTAATTTGCTTGTTATCTCTCTCTTTTCATTTTTTTTTAAGTTTATGTGATTTCCTCTATTTTTTCTACTTTTACTGTATGTTGAACTACATTTCAATTGTTTATGTATCTCAACTGTGTTCAATGTTCAAACAATATGATTGTTTATAATTCCTAGTTTTATTTAATTAATAGATGCTTAAGCGTAAATAATTTGTCAGAATAATTCATCATTTAGTAAAGGTTTTTTTAAAAATTAAAATGATATACGCAAACAATTTCATTATTTTAACTGCTAAACACAATTATGAATGATCATTATTAAGTAAACTTTACAGCTGGCTTCACAACTCATTGTTTTTGCGAGTCTCTAGGACATCAGTTTTCATTAAACAATTGTCGGATCGAGTGAAACCGCATGTGTACATGTATTTTTTTGTCAATTAAGTGCAACGTACTAAAATTCTAACATTGTTTTCGCACCACTTTGAAAACAACATTGTCCTACATTAGGATGTTTACGGTCTTGATTTTTCGAGAGTTAATTAGTTTAGTTCGGTTTATATCCAGAATTTTAACATTGATATCTGTTAGCCAGTTTTGGCGAGATATTTTCCTGTGCATGCATTTAGTTTCTAAACAATTACACAGTCAACATTTAGACAGAATGTCCAGAAATGATATCATCACTTTGTTTTGTCTTTCAAACACAAGGGAACCTCAGTATAATGTATCAATACCTGTAACAATAGTTTTAACTAGTTTGTCGTTTATTTTCCAAAGTTTTTGCTAGTGAAGAATAAGCTATTTTCACACTGAAATTGTAAATAATGTTTTTAATTATTATTAAAATCATGGACCGATCTAAATGATGAATACCTGGAAGTGTTGGACGATTATTTCACCCTGGTATGGGACTCGTTAACAGCTGGCATCCACAATCTCTCTACCGAGCATCAATTATGCTGACTTAGTGATTTCCAATTTCATTCATACTTCCTCATCTCACTAAAATTACCGGAACTTATAATTTGATCTCTATATACTGACGTTCAATCTCGTCTAAGATGAGTCGGTCAGTCATGTGCAACGTAGGACTTGACATATGTGTGCTTTCAAAATCTGTATATGAAACACTGATAACGTTAATAGAATCATAAATTTGTTATTGTTGTACTATTCAGCTGTTTGCTAAATTGAACATTTTATTTATTGTAAATATTTCCTTTTATCTATCAAGGAAGTTGTATGTGCCTTGGAAAGTGGATGTAATATAATACCAATTACTGATAATTTTACATGGCCACTAGCTGAGTCTTTGCCAGAAGATTTGAGGTCAATAACAACCTACAATGCAGTTAAGTAAGTTCAATGAAATAACAATGAACTCAAGTAACAAAATTATAATTATAATAATTATATATATATATATATATACATGCCTACTTATATTGTTTGTCTGTACTGCAAATAACTTTTTGAAATGTTTATTCAACATTTCATCTAGCATTTCCATCAACAGTTAGTTGCACAATTTAACTTCTAGATATATGCAGTATACATCAAATTAATCAATTGTTGATCCTAGGTTTTTTTGCCTTTATGTTAGTCGGTATGTGAAAAATGTGTATCTGTAATATGAATGTGTAATTCTAATTGCATATTCGTTAATGTTTTAATTTTAAGTGACTAAACCGTTTGGAAAGTTCATTCAAATTAGCTGAATGGTCAAAGTTGTTTGTAGATACCAAGAATTTGATCTCAATAGTTTCTCTGCACTGTTTAAGCTTATGGTGTTTTAATAAAAAAATCGCTTATTTATCCTCTGAATAGGTGATATATACTCAAACTCTTCCAAATTAACATATGACAATTATATATGATTATTATTATCTTGATTATTTTCTAACAGTGATGTATAAAAGTGTTCTTCCATTGATATTTACGTCCCATAATCATTCTCACTCTATATATGTCCACAATCGTATTTCATGCATAATAACCAACCAATTGAAAATATACAGACACCCTTTTTTCCTTCTCACTGCTTCTCATAATATTCTTCTGCTCTATTTTTTGTGAAATACAATAAAATAATCCGGATATTGAACATTGATTAAGTTTTTAACAACTACAATTTGTCGCTCTCTTTATTGAACTAGTCTTAAATAAGTTTTCCGGCAAAAAATAATACATAAAAAGAAGCAACGATTAAATAATTAAGGCAAGGAATAGTATATTTTTTTTCTTCATATATTTACTCTCTGAATACTAATGTTTTTTTTGAATGAGACATGAAAAATAATGAGAAAGTCCTTCCAGAAGATCTACTTCATTCCGAAATCAATTAATAATTTATAAGTGAATTTACTTTAATTCACTTAGTATTGTTTGTTTGGATCTTCCCATCGATGTGCTTAGGACTGCAACTGGTCAGTCTCTAATTGGCATATGTGCATACTGTGCGTATTGCCTCGATATACCATCTCCGCTTACCATGCTTGTGAATTAAGTTATATCGAGGCAATACGCACAGTATGCACATATGCGAATTAGAGACTGACCAGTTGCAGCCCTAAACACATCGATGGGTAGATCCAAACAAACAATACTAAGTGAATTCAAACTTCACCCCATCGGACAAGTAAGTGGCCATCAGGACTCAGTGGCCGAGTGGATAACGCGATGACGTTTGAAGCGAGGGTACTGGGTTCGAGTCCCAGAGTGAACATCAACTCTGAGATGCAGGTGCATCCAGCTGACGAGTCTCAAATAGGACGAAACGCGCGTGCTGGATTCCACTGCTAGCCACTATCCATCTCTGCTGAATTTACTTTTTTTGTTAAAGTTCGATTCCATTCAGCTGGTATACCTGATCTCGTGGAATATCTATGATACTAACTTCTCTCTATTTACATACATACATAAAATTATATGATTAGAAATAATATAGTTGTATGTGATTAGCGGAATTAAAAGGAGACGTTTTCCTATTGATAGTTGAAAAAATTGCTTGAAAAAAAAAACATTTACAGCCATTAATAATCGAATTGATCATGAAAAATACAAAAAAAATATGGTAATTTAATCTGTCCCTGTTTTATTTTAAAAATATTTATTCATACACAAAGTTACAATCACAGGATTTTTGTTATGACATATTTTATAAAGGAATATGTAGTAAATTTATATGCATAGAAAATTATATTTATCTTAATGTTTTTATTTATTCAATAGCATTAGGAAAGTAGATTCAATATACTTATTTCGAACTAAATACATTGGTCTTAAAAGATTTTTTTTGATTTTGGAACTGATTTTCCATTATTTTGATACAGTTTTATAAAGTTTTTTGGAATAACTAAGAAATGTTAGTGTTTGATAAATTCATACTAAATTTTGTATATTCCTGTCACTTGTTTATTCATCTATTTATTTATTTATTCGAACACATAAATATTGTTACAAACGGGCAACAAATACATTTCCGCCATACAATAACAATGAGACCGTGAAAAGATAGAGAATGTAAAGTGCGTATAAGACATAGGTGAACAACAACAAACAAAAATCTGTATATGAAAGTGAAATAATAATAATTGGAGAAACAGTTCAGTTAGCAATAGTACAACCAGAAGGAGTTCCTTCATTTAACAAAGTTACAGCAGGATTGCCATTGGCTTCTGTTCTTAGCCATGACTGATAACGTCTCAAGCCACCGTATTCCACCATCTCTAGGACCCCAACCGGGGAGTCATGAAGGATCAACAGAAGCCAGTCACGTACAGCTTTCTTTCATACCACGACACCATGTCATACTCTAACCACCTCTCCGCCTTACTCAACCAGTTCCAGCGTTTCCAAATAATACACGACGTGGAATTCTCTGGGATGACATTTGTAGAACATGTCCAAGCCACGAAGTATGACAGGAGCCAATAGTTTACACGTAATCGGGAGGAGAATTATCTACTGACAGTTGTAACAGAAAGGACGTGAACCCTTTTTAGGGATAGAGATAACTATCGATTCATTCCATGATGTTGGGACACTCACTAATTGGCAGACCTTTGTAAACAACTCAGTCAGTTCCTTAACCAGGAAGTCACTACCATCTTTAAAAAGGGCCGGAGGTAAGTCATCTGGGTCTGGTGATTTGTAGCGCTTCAAGAGTTGCAGTTCCTTGCGGACTTCCGCCTCGTTAGGTGGATCGGTCTTCACCTGCCATGGAGGACAGGATAGTCTTATCGATGTCACGGAGGCAGCAGACTAGCTGAACTGCTCCTCGAGAAAGTCTGCCCATCGTCCAAGGCGTTAATAGATGTTAGTGATTGGCATTCCGTCATCTTCACATATTGTCTCGCTCACACCAGACTTCTTGCTGCCAGTGGCTCGGATGAGTTGAAAGAGCTTCCAGCAGTTACCAGATGTAGTTGCTGCTTCCAACTCATTGGCACGTTCCAATCACCAGGCTTCTCGGCTCTTACGCAAGCTTTGCCAAATTTCATTATGCAACAGTCTTCGTTTAAAGTCTAACTCGCGGTCACCTGGAGTAGACCGACGGGTCTCAGTGAATTGTAAACAGTCTGAAGAAACCCGGTTCTTATAAACGGGACATTTCGCGAAACCGTAAGCGAATTTACAAGCCATTTTCATGGTGTTATGCAATTGTAACTAATGCTCATCTATACTTTTCTGTGGGATGGTAGGTAGCCTTGAACCTAGCTCGGTTTGTTATTTAGTTGCAACAGAAACTACAGCCTATTTTCTAACATCGATCCGTTTAAAACGATAAATTTGTTGGCCTCTAAAAAGTAAGGTAAGATTCGTGCAAACAGGGGGATGTTCAGAGTCCAGACAGGTACTCCAAAAGGAGAGGAATTTTTGTACACAACCATCCATGCCAGTGGTAGCTAATTGCCATGTGATCAATCTGAGTTCAGGCTTGAGATTCAGAGAGAGGACGCCAGGTGGCACATCGGCGATGACTGTGCCGTAAGTTAGTGCTAGCCAGAAACAGGTTCTGGTCTGCGCACAGTTTCAGTAGATGGTCCCCATTATCTGGCCTGCGACCAACAAGTCTCCATTCGCCACCTGAACGAATCTTTTGTGTGCTTAGACGCCCGATCTGATCATTCAAGTCTCCTGCTTGTACTACAATGTATGTGGAACGCAATTTCTGTAGAAGAGTTAAGTAGTGGTAAAACTCATCCTTCATCACATCCGGGCCCTAATCTGTCGGAGCATAGGCGGATATGACGAAAAGACATCGTTTCTCAAACCGATTTCCTCTCACTTTGATGGAACTTTCTAATCTAACAGCACAAAACCGACTGTTGATGTGGATACAGTCGATTAATGTTTCTCCAGCTCTAGCGCTCAGTAATAAGCCAGAGAAGGCAGACGAAGAAGCCACTGAGTCTCCGGATTAACGCACATAAAACAAGCCTTTTGAAGCGACAGATGGAGAGCAAACTTGTAGTTCCTCACTAGAGTCTTGAATACGGGTCTCGGATAGACAACGGACGTCGATATTGAAACTTTCCAAAGACATGGCTAACCCTGTATGTTGTCCGATGTGTATTAGTGTGTGAATGTTGGAGGCCAGTTAGAATAGCATACTTTGTTTCAGAAAGGCTGGTTCAGAATTCATATTCAATGGAAGCATTCAACTTTCTGCCTGTCAGTGACTTGATATCGTTTAAAGTACAGGATTTCCACCATACGCAAGCTGCTGTATAAGTTGAAAAATAAAAATACACAAAGTCAGAATAGAATCTATGCAGTTATCTCAGCTCGTGTATCAATATTAACTTAAATATTTAATTTATAATAATGAAATATCTCAATCCTATAGACAATAACTTAGAAGTTAGATAACTCACCAGTAGTATCACTGATTGTTGCTGAGTAGATACGGTCTTTATTTCACCAGGCTTTATCAGTTTCTTCAAAGTTAGATCTACATCTTTCTAACGAGTGCCAGTAAGAAAGGAAATCATTTGTAAGTATCACAGTCGACTTACTCTGACCATATAGCATTGATTTTTAATATTGTAATATTGTGTGATCATTTATTAAGAATATCTGTGTTATAACTTGTGAGTGCGTACGTGCCCTGTTAATATATGAACGTTATAAGACCGCAAATCAGAGAGCCGCGAATTATCAATTGGGACAATGACACACGAAAACCATACGAGCAGTCTAGAGTGCGTATCGGCCCTGCTATCTGCCTAGCCCAGCCATTTAAGTCCAGAACACCAATAGCAACCGCTGCAATAAGAATCATTATTCTCAAACATACTGGGTTTATATACCAACCAAATAGACCACATTTGTACAAGAATTAGCCAAAAAAGGCTGTGACTAGGGGGGACAGTAGTCAATAGACTGGGTATAACTCAGGAATGATAGATCGTATTATAATAGTCTATGGGTCGAAATAAAACTCATAATAAAAAGGACATGAATATGATTAGTTTAGTTACTTAACAACTATAGAATAGGAAATATACATATCATATTGGTCCATAGATAGTTCTTAAAGTTACCATTCATAATTCTCCACGGGATACAACAATCGGTTAATCAGAATTTATGGAATTACATTCTTAAACGAAACTGTTGTTGAATTGCTTGAAATATTTTCTATAATTAACTACTTATCTCACATGTTTCGCCCTATACATACTCTTTCAAAATTTTTTTTTCAATTAAATTGAAGCCTTAAGGAGTATTTTATCTATCATGCTAACTACTAGATTTTACAAATCATTTTTATCTTCATAAAGATTTCAAGTTTAATGTGAATAGTGCAATTACTATTGCACCATTTTCACAACCACTTAAGAAATGAAAGAAAATTTCATAAATCTAACAACATAATATAAACAATTTTATGATACATCTTCTCACATCCATGATTTATTATGCTTAACATATCATTTCATGAATATCCATACAAATGAAAGTACAATTTATTGTAGTTTTTACCAGTTAGTTGTAAAAATCGATTGAAAACAATACTACGATTCAATATAATGTGCACTCGTAGTTGAATTCATGAGTCAATTAAAGCTAGACCACCATGAAAAACTTGGAAGCATTGGACGGCCGTTTCGTCCTATTATGGGACTCCTCCACGATCCCGCCTTGCGAGATTCGAACCCAGGACCTACCAGTCCAGGTTTTCCATGGTGGTCTAGTTTCAATTGACTCATGATTTCAACTATGAAAATACTGAAATCTCCACAAAAACTCCTTCTGATTGTAATATACACTATTTAAGTTTTAATCACTTTGTCGTTTACAAAAGTTTAAAAACCAAATAGAAATTCAAGCATAAACACTATTTTAACTAATTTTCAACTTTCATGAGTTTGTCAATGATGTTAATTGATAATAATAATTATCATGAGATATAATTAATTATTTCTTACATTTTATTTATTTATTTATTAGTTGGATTCATGATTATCAAGAGGCATGTATTGATAAAGTGGAAAAATTCATGATTAAACCAATAACTTCAACCCCTCTACCATGTAGTCAAATCAAACCATTTGAAAAATAAACTAATCCTAATGTTTTTCATCGTCATCGTACTTTGCATTTTTCTAACTTCGTTTCCCTCCCTCTTGTATTCTTTTTTTGTTGATTTCTTGTTTATTTTTTAAATCTCCATGTTACTTTTCTGTCAAAGAATATATACCAGTTTATCTAATAATAATAACTTAAAAGAGTTCATATATATTTATAATTTGACTGAATTATACTACTTATATGCATTTAATTTTTTTTGTTTTTCCTATTCTTATGACTATTACCATACAGAATAATTTAATCAACCATTTATACTGATCTCATGATTATATTTTGAAAGATTCTTAATAAGAAAGGAGTTTTGCTTTTACATCTTTGAGTTTGGAAGTAATTTCATTGGATAAATAGATGAATATAAAGATTTATCTGATAGGACTAGTTCATTTTTTTAAATTACATCCAGTCGTTTGTTTTATAAACAAATTCAACTTATGTACTAATAGTAGATTTATGTACTTCACTTTGAATCCCACTATTTTGTGGAGAGCTAATAGTGGTGTTGAAGGATGAGGAGACTTATATTTCTGACCTACTGGTTGAAAGTCAAGGGACTTAACCATTGAACCATTGCTCCCATAAAAGTGTTAGCAACGATCATTTATAGAAAAAATACTTCACCTACATGAATTGTAATTTTAAGCGAATCGGTAAATCGTTCAAGGCCTGATATTAAATCAATATGATGATGTAAACTAGCAATCAAATGAAAGTACAGAGTTAATTTTAGATCCTCAATCTCATTTCTCGAATCATGTATGCATAAATATGCAAGTGTGCTAAAATGTTGTGTTCTCAAAACATAAAAGTTTAGCTTTTTGAGTTAGTCATTTAACGAGATATACTTTTTACTAAAAAGTCGTAAAGCTGTAGTAGTAAGTTTATTATTCAGCCTGTGTATCGTCTCAGAGAGTATTTTTACCCAAGAATATCAAGGTGTAATTCTTATTAAAGATGTAAATTTCAGTGGCCAGAATTATACCCAAGTATCTACTATCAACATGTTCAACGTGGTCCAGTCAGACATGCTAGATAAGGCACAAATATAGTGATCGGTCAAATAGCAACGGAAATGAGGAGATACAAATTGGCAATACTTGGAATCAGCGAAACTCATTGGACCCAAGCTGGACAGCAAAGGCTGGGTATGGAAGAGAAGCTGCTGTACTCCGGTCACGAAGAAGAAAATCCACCACACACTCAGAGAGTTTCTCTGATGCTGTCCAGAGAAGCACGAAGTGCACTTGTAGGGTGGGAATCTCACGGATCCAGAATCATTCAAAACAAAGAAGCAGGGAATCACAATGAATGTTATGCGCCCACCAATGATAGTAACGACGACGATAAAGATCAGTTCTACTCGAGGCTGCAATCAATAATAGCTAGGTGCTCAAGAAGGGACCTCACAATCCTGATGGGATATCTAAACGCCAAAGTCGGAGTGGACAACACAGGATATAAAGATATAATTGGACGACATGGACTGGGCGAGAGAAATGAAAATGGTGAGAGATTTGCAAATCTATTTGCATTCAACAAATTGGTTATAGGTGGCACAATGTTTCCACACAAGTGCATACACAAAGCTACATGAATCTCACCGGATCACACTAAACAGAACCAGATCGATCATATTTGAATCACAAAAAAAAGCTGCAAGAGAAGATATATGATACAACGAAGAATCTAGCAGGGAGATATAGTGAACCAGAGAAACCAGTCAAGGACAAAAAAGGGAAGACAATCACGGAGTTTCAAGAACAGGAAAAGATGGGCAGAATACTTGGAGGAACTGTTGAATAGACCAGTTCCATTTAATCCACCGGACATCGAGGCAGCACATACAAACCTTCCTATAGATCTCACTCCACCAACGATCGAAAAATTGTTTATCAGTGTCGGGATCAACAGGTTAGATTCCGTAATGATCGGTCATGCATAGACCAAATTACGACACCACGGATCATCTTTGAGCAATCATTTGAATGGAACTCGTCACAATACATCAACATCCTTGATTATGAGAAAACATTTGATAGTGCGGATAGGAGAACCTCATGAAACCTTCCTCGACACTATGGTGTACCTGAGAAAATCGTCAACATAATCCGGAATTCATACAACCGACTACAATGCAAAGTCGTTCATGGTGGACGGTTAACAGATGCATTCCAAACGAGGACCGGAGTCAGACAAGACTGTCTAATCTTCCCTTTCTTCTGATGATGGACTGGATTATGAAGATCTCGACACCTGTAGGAAAGCACGGAATACGATGGACAGCTCGAAATCATTTAGAAGATTTGGACTTCACAGATGACCTATCCCCTTTATCCCACACACATGAACAAATGCAGATCAAGACAACTGGTGCAGCAGAAGCCTCTGAATCAGTAAGCCTCAACATACACAAGGTAAAAACTGAGATCTTCAAATACAACACAGAGAACAACCTAATCACACTTGATGATGAAACCCTGGAAGATGTGGAATCTTTCACGTACGTGGATGATAAGCCTTGCTAATGGAACGCTATACTCAGATCCTAAACTATTCTCGTAACCCTCAAGCTAAATCTACACAACACGAGGGAAAAGGCGCAAAATATGCGAGAAGCACTTTACTTCAAAGGTTCATTCATGTACAGAAAATATAGGGTTTTTGTAGTATTTAAGAAGTTCATGGGCTTTCTCGAAAATTCTTGATTGCTACTAAACATAGTAGCAGTGTAGTAAACCGTCAATCAGAAACTCTACGTGTGACTTTGGACCTTCGTGATGTGTCTGGCAAAACATCTAGTGAACGCTGATTTGATAAAATGCTTCCTAATGTATCCTGAGCCTTTCTTGTCTTCTGCGATAAATTTTTTGGATCACCCGAACAGTGGAAATCATCATTAATGAACAAGCAGGATAGAATGCAGACATAAAGGCGGGGATTAGCAAAGCAAGGACCTCATTCCTACATTCAAAAAACATATGGAAATCAAAACAACTGTCAACTAACTCCAAAGAGAGAATCTTCAATACGAACGTCAGAATATTTCTGCTGTCCGGAGCTGAAACGTGGTGAACTACTACAATTATCATCAAGAAGGTACAAGTATTTATAAACAGTTGTCTACGCAAGGTACTCAGTATCCGTTGGCCGAATACCATCAGCAACAGTATACTGCGGGAGAGAACGAACCAACTTACAGCTGAGAAGGAAACTGGGAAAAGACGTTGGAAACGGATAGTACATGCATTACGGAAATCACCAAACTGCATCATGAGACAAGCCCTAACTTGGAATCCTGAAGGGAAGCGGAAAAGAGGAAGGGCGAAGAATACATTACGTCGAGAAACGGAAGCATATATGAAAAGGATGAACAACAACTGGAGAGGATTGCCCAAGACAAAGTTGGTTGGAGAGTGCTGGTGTGTGGTCTATGCTCCTCCACGAGGAATAACAGGCCTAAGTAAGTACTGAATGAACATCGAAAATGTCGCGAATAACCCCAACTGTCAAAGCTTTAGCATTTTATTTAAACCTATACTATAAAGACCATAACCTGATGTCTACACCATTCAACCCCATTAATCATGCGAGATTCAGCCATACTTGAACCGAATATTTCCAAAATTACCCGAAATACACATCTCAATATGCCATTTTCTACGAGTAAATTTAAGTCAAAACATGGTCTTGTGCATTTTACATCAGTTGAAAATATCACAGCGGTGACATGTTAACTTATTTCATGTCATATTTTTCAGTTTCTTTGTTCTGTCTTCTACTGTGACTAAAAAAATATACTTGATAACATAAACATCATTTTCCACATAAAATACTTTTCTATTTAGATTGGCTTATTTTAATTTTGTTGCTTCTATAGCAACTTCTTTTTTATGTAAAAATATAATTAACTGATCGTTTATACAACAATCTACATTCACTACTTACTACTAGTTAAACTATATCAATAGATAAAGGTCATTCGACGTATTATTTGTTTTGGCTTATATAAATGTTTTCCATTGCACGGAGTGCACAGAATCGAAATCTTCCCATGTACGTCAATTGGTGAAGAGAAGAAATTCATATTTCCAAACGAACAAATCAATCAACCAATTAACTGGAATAAGTAATTCAAAGTTTCGTTGTTTACTATCATAAATTTTGATTTTATAAAAGCTGTATTATGATTCAAAACAATCATAAATATATTATTAGCAGCATTTGTGATTGTATCTTTAAAGTAAACCAATCGACAATAAGAAAGCTGTAACATTTCAACAATGAATGTTTTAATGGTCTTCATGTATATAAACTCTAAACTGAGGTATGTGATGGATAGGTATATAATATATTACAAAGTCGAATCTATTCTTATTAGTAACGAGGTTGGATATACTCTATTGTTTGTACCAGTGAATACAAAATGATAATCTCGAGTGAAAAAGAGACAAATACAAGTATAGCAGTACATTATGAACCTGCTATTGTGTTAGTTAAATTATATCAAAACAACTGCCAGTTCATATACTCTAAACATGCAGTCAACTGAACCCATCATCTGTGCGAAAAATACGTAAATAAGTTCACCGTTAGTTATTTGGTTCATGGCTATCATATGGTACATAAAAGCCAATCCTTTCGAGAATTCCATCTTCTACTTTCGTTTTTTTCAATATTGTTCAACATGTAGCAGAAGTTATATGGTTCCAAACCTATAACCCGCTTTTGTATTCAGGAATTTGTGACACTCCTGTCTCTTCCTTGGCCGCATATTATCTAATAAAAGATTCCACTAACTTGTTGGCATCTCGTATCGGTTGGCGCTTTTTGGCTTCTTACGTTTAAGTTCTTCACTATCTGTTTATGTGCACATTTTCTATTTAATAACTTCCATAATTTTTTCTTGATTATTATTTTAAAATCTACTTATCGAAATGAATTTTAAACATTGGCTTATTCCATTGTTGATGTTCTTGACTGAAATTCGATCAGTCTATTTATCCAAGGTTGACCTACTTCCTATGTTGAACTAATGATTAAAAATTATATTATTTATCAATAATAGTACACTCTTGCACTTAAAAATGTTATTTACATCGCCTTATGATACAGCGGCGAATCGAATGACCATATATTGGCATGAAGTCCTAAACTATCGACCATTTGGGCTAATTATAATGTCAAGATAGTTATTTTTGAAAAAGAGTAAATGTTATGCCTTCCCAAAATGTCGAACAGTATATCACTGTTTAGAACATGTTCTATAATGTCTCCAGACTTACGAGTTTATGGACGTGTACACACACAGGGAGAAGTAAATGCAACATTGATAACTTCGTAACTAAGATTTACTGACATTTTTATAGTTAGAATTTTTCA